GAAAAATTTAAAGGGGTCTGAATACTTTCCGTACCCACTGTATATAGATATATGTACATGTGTGAGTGTGTGTGTGTGAGTGTGTGGAAACGAGGGGGGGCCAACTCAAACAGTGATGGTAGGTAACCTAAAAAGGGGCGTGTGAGCCTACAAGCAAAGATGGCGGAGTCTATTGACCCGCGACAAGATAGCTGAGAGGTGGCTGAGAGGTGGCTACGTGTAACCACGTGGGACGGCGCACAATGTGGGTTGTGACAATAAGATTATGCGACCACGTGTCTGAGAGGTTCACCCAAAATCAGTGAATCTAACTATGTGTATGCGGGTTAGTAGGAAGAGAGGGAGACAGCAAGAGAGAGAGAGAGAGCAAGAGAGAGGAGCTCTGAGCGCGGTGCTCGGCGCTGCAGTGAGAATGTGAGGAACAGCTGATCACTCGTAAACTCTGCGGTCGGATTCTGAACCGACCGGTCACGCTTGTATGGTGATAGTTGCGGTTCTAGATCTCACTCACAGAGCCGATTTAAAGAAGAGAGAATAAAACCAAACAAAATTAAATAATTCCCAAAACAGATCTTTATCACTGCGGTGAGATGCGAGTATTGCCCTCTTATCACCCCGAAACTCGGTCGGCGAGACGAGGCTCCGCCACCGTGGTTTTGGTCTTTGAAGTGATAAAATCACAACCTCCACATCTACTAGCAGCGATGGATCTAATGCAAACAGTTACAGCAGGAAATACACAATATAACGGGACTCCGTGGTCCGCGATGCTTGCACAATAACACGTTATAACACGGCAGTAACTTAACGTAAGAAGATACAGGAATAAAAACGACATGACGAATAGGCTAAATTAAGCTAATGCTAAGCTAAGCTAGGCCCAGATACCAGTAACTCTTACTTGTAGAAGCTTCGTTCAGTAGGGTACGTTTCCCGTGGTGGGAATCAGTCAGTCCTCGAGAGATGAGGGCTCCCGGTGGCGCGGCTCTCGGAGCTGGCGCAGACTCTATCTCCTCTCTGCAGAGAGGACTTTTTAACTTCGGCTGAGGACGAGGTTTGGGTCGTCCTTCCCGGAAATCTTCGGCGAGGAAAGATTGTTAATCGTCCTTCTGCCGGCGGTGTGTACACAAAAAGGGTGGAGGAACGGGGCATAGGAGTTATCCGTTCTCGCACTACAGGATCCAAAACTCAAAATAAAACACAGTCTGTTCGACTAGCGAATGTTACATGTGACCTGATAGGATTTGATGAGGCAAGCGCTTCCTTGTGGATCTTCTAGTACCAGGACGATGTCCGGAGGGAAGAGGCCTTGTGGATCTTCTTGTCCCCTGGACGAGTCCAGAGTGAAGAGGCCTTGTGGACCTTCTGACACCAGCGTGTGTCCGGAGTGAAGAGAGCGATTCTAGCTGTGCTGGGGCTTATAAACCAGGTAGCACAACCAGTGGGGGGCCCTTTCTTGGCCAATGAGGGGCCAGTATCAGGTTTTGGCTGGAGCTGGGGGGTGTGGTCATCCGGCATGAGGTTTCTTGCAGGCCCCAGGTCAGGCGTTTTGGTGAAAGGAAGGAACATGGCTGCTCCTTTGTTTGAAAAACACGTGTGAAGGTCTCAGCCAGCCAGGAGAGCAGGGTCAGATCCCAACAACTGAATGCAAGCAAAACTACAGAGCAAAATCACACTCTTTCTGATTGAACCAATCTATGAACTGTCTAAAACAATGGATATCCGCGGCCCCAAAAGAAATTGCTGCGCGCGCAAACATGCCACGCGCCTTGGGGCTAAGCCCCCCCTGTCTTTGAATCCTAGAAACGCCCCTGGGTGATATCATTAGTTAAAAACAGTGGCGTGTCTCTGAAAGCACTTAAAAACTGTTGTGCGGTGCTCGTGGTGATAAAACGAGAGCAGCGAACAGGGACAGGTGGGGGAGTGTCTCTGCCATCAGTAACCGCTTCAAAGATGACAGGCTTGTGGTCCGAGAACGTTGCTTCACAAATTTCACTGATGTTTACAGAAATACCAAAAGATAAAACAAGGTCCAATATATGACCATGTTCATAAGTGGGACCAGAGACTAGCTGCTCAAGATTAAAAGAGTCAATCAGGTTTAAAAAGTCATTCACCATTGGCTTAAAAGAACAACATACATGAATATTAAAATCACCAAAAAACTAAATACTATCATATTTTGGGAAGATTTCAGCTAATAATTCAGAAAACTCCAGGATAAAAACACCATTGGGTTTAGGAGGCCGATAGACAAGTGCACATAAAGTTCTGGTGGACTGTGGAAACTCAAAGAGTTGAAGCTCAAAGCTAGAGAATGGATCCATTTTAACCTGGCGGCAACAGAGACAGCTCCTAAAGACTGTGGCAAGCCCACCACCTCTACCAGTCAGCCTGGGAGAGTTAATGTATCCACAGTCAGTAGGGACAAGCTCTGAGAAGGCACTGGGTTCGTCTTTAAGCCAGGTTTCTGTCAGACACAGAACATCCAACTCGTGGGAATTAAGAAAGTCATTTAAAATGAATGTCTTGTTGGTCAGTGATCTGACATTAGCTAAGGCCATTTTAATCTTCAAGCAGTTTCCAGCCACTTTGGAGGCACGGCTGAATGAACGGAGGTTGGTCAAGTTCACTCCACTGTGATGACGAAGGGACCGGGGTGGTGGCCTCACTGATGTAGCCGTCTGTATGGGAAACTCAGGTGCTGCAGATGGCGGATCGCTGCCATCGATGGCGGATTTACATGCAGCCATTAAGACTTTGATTTCAGCAAGCTGTGCTTAACATGGTTGAGCTACCTTAGAAGCTTGTACTTCTGCGAAGGTGTTATCTCTATGCAATTGCACAACATTGTAACCCTCGTGGTTACCTGTCTCATCTTTAAAGCATGAGCCATCCACAAACAAGGTGAGATCTGCGGTGATTGGCTGGTTGTACAAATCATCACGTGCTGAAAGTGTCTGTTGCTTGGACACAGTCATGTGGGGTCCCATCCACCGGCAGCACCAGCCTGGTTGCAGGGTTCATCGTGCTGCATCGGCGGATAGTGAGGTCAGGTGCCGTAAGTATAATTTCATACTGGGTGGCCCATAGTCAAAACTGAAGCCTTTTGAAATGCAAAGGAAGAGAGAGGGGATGTGGGGGGTCTAGAAGAGCCAGGAGGTTACGTCCTTAACTTGGTACAACTGTCCATTTATGTATAATTTGTCCACTGATATTATTGCTTTTTGCCTTCTTTCTGATGTGTTTTCGAATTGGAAATAGTTCTTTACGTCCTTGCATGATTTCTTTTGGAGACAGGTCGTTGAGTCCATAGTTACTTTGAGTTGCCTGCCTCTTCTTAACCTCTTCTTTTTGTCTGTTGTATTCAAAGAGGTTTATGTGGGGCGTGGTGTCAAATTGGTGAAGATGCTGTTTACATGCGACTCATGTTATGATATTGGAAAAGATTTTTTCTAAATGTGTCTTGAAATTACTAAAGATTTTTACTAAATGCTTTGCAAGTTATTGAATTATTTAACATGTTTTCTAAATGTGGCTTATGTTGTCATATTGGTGAAGACATTTTCTACATGTTGCCGGTGCTGTTGATTTAATTTCTGTTTTCTAAACGTGGCGTGTGTCGTCAAATTTGTAAAGATGCTTTTTACATACTCATGTTATGAAATTGGTGAAGGTCTTTTCTAAATGTGGAGCATCATTAGATTGGTGAAGACGTTTTCAGTTTAATTCAGTTGATATTAGGCACTGGTTACAGAAAATGAACCGAACAAAGTTGTCACTCAGCTGGCGATAGGAATGTGCTTTCCTGCGCTGTGACAAGAGTGTTAGGATGAAGCATTAAGTTGTTCCATTTTCTCATTACCTCTGGCTCTCTGCATTTCGTAATGTTCGCTTTAGTCGTTAAAACCTCATCTCAGTGAGTGTGCTACTTGCCATAAGCTGATTTAGTTTATATGCAAGTTAGCCCGCTACAATGGTCGCAATGGCAAAGGTACATATCAAAATGTCCACGACTGACCATCCTGCTACGTTGATTTGAACATGGGAGAAGTTTGCCTTCAGGTCTTTTTGCCAGAAAAGAGTTAATTTGAACCTGAATCATGATCATTTTTAAACCTAACTAAGTAGGTTTGTTGAATAAAGCTAAGGAGGTTTTTGGCAAAAAGGAGGCAAACTTGTCCCATGTGCACTTGATTTGAATGGGAATGTCCGTCCAACTCCTTATCTACGGTATTTCTATTTCCACCAGTCCTGGTCAAGTCCAGACTCCAGTCCGCTATGATCCAGTCCTTGTTGTTCTCCGTCCCCTCTCTGAATGCAGCGCTGTGATTGGACGATGGATGCTTGTCAGGAAGAAAGCTGCTGTGTTGAGGCCGAAAACTCAGACACAAGCAGGACGATACTGGACTGCCTCAGTGGAAGGGATATATATTTGACTAGACACCAAGAAGGAATTTGGGCTAACTGAGCTTCAGCAGAGCCCCGACCGGGTCTCCGTGCTCCTGCTGTCGAGGCCGCCGCGTTCCGTTTCTCCTCCCCGACAGTGTGTCGCTGCCTGCCGCAGGTTACAGTAATCCAGACCCGCTGCTGTTCATGGATTGCGAGGAGAGCGAAGCTGCTGTGTGGCGAAGCAGACACCGCAAATCTGTCTGAGATTGTTGAAGGAAAGATAACGACTCAGATGTTGCTGCTGACGGACGAGGCTACCAGCTGAGGATAAACATCCCGATAAAGATCCAACTACATGGAACCAGTCAGCGGCGGACCACCGTCTCGTTTAGCGCCAGCAGAACTGATATGAATGACCTATAGACGCCAGTCTCTGTTTGAAGCAGCACCGTTGTCTTCATTACCAGGGCAGTATTTAATGAAGGCATTCTAAAAGCAGCAGTTTAAAGCCTCTGCATCAGGTGAGTGAATCCGCAGTTATTCACGTCTGACCAGCAGACCCTCATTCGGCTTTAAACCGCGACATTTGTAGCACGAAATGTGTGATTTTCACTTGTTATTATAACCTTTAAGATACCTTGTGTTTGACTTCGATGAAAGCCTCTCTATTTGTTTCTTTATTTCTAGAGTTCAGGCAGCGATACAGCAGTAACGTTAGGCTCAACCCGGGTAACGCGGTCCTTTAATCCCCCCAAACCCCAAATGTAGGAGGGGGGGCAGCACATGGGTTCACAACCCGAGTTCGAGTTTAGAAACCGTGCGACTCGTTGTCTTCAGGAAATCTGAAAAACTCGTCCTCCTTTGTCTTTTATAAGTATGCTAATTGGTGTCCCTGTCTGGTCCTTGCGCGTGCTGTTCCTGAGCTCGCGGGCGCATCAACAGCCGTACGTTACACGGAGCGCGTCGGAAGGCAACAGTTGCGCACAGAAACGCAGTGAACAGCGGGAATGGCACCGTGTGGCAGCATTGCTAACCCCGCTTTAATTTGAAGTTAAGATATATGTATACACCCTAAGCAGTAAGCTATATCAAACTACATTTATATAAAACATTCATATTGTTACTGTCCATAGTTATTGTATGTTATGGTTTCTTTATGTTTTCCTTTTGACTGGACCACTCCAGTATGAAAATGACTTGATTTCAACTACACAGAGGAACAATGACCATTGCTTTTCTTTTGAGTTAACTGGTTTTGTATTTCACTGCTGTCCCAATGAAAAGCCTGTATTTCTGAACGTCCACTTCCTGTGAGCAAAGAGGAGCCCTGTTTCAGCTTTGTGACCTATGTATTCATACTGTCCAATGGGTTGTAAAATACTTCATGTAAGGCAGTGAGGAAGAAACATTTCTCAGGCCAGAAAGGAACATTTAATGGAAATCGCAACATTTCAAGATGAAGTATGATTTTCACTGGTTGGGTTGATCTAAGATCCAGTGGTTCCTGACCCGGAGTGGACTGGTCTTACAACTGAGGCAGAAAGACACACTTGAGTGTTACAAACTTCATCAAAGGGCAGCAACTAATGGTGATTCACCAGTCATGAATTATTCAATTAAGCCTTTAGCCTCAAAATGTCACACACAATGCCAGATATAAACCACAAGGTCCCAGAGTAGGGCTGCTACCAATGGCTACTTTTGTTATTGATGATATTTTGTCAATTCATTGATTAATCATTTTGGTCTATGACATGTCAGGAAATATTGACAATACCACCACAATGTGCGAGAGCTCAAGGTGATGTCTTGAGATTGTTTGATCTGACCATTTTAAATCCAAAGATCCTCAGTTTACATGATTACAAAAGAGACGAGCAGAGAATCACTGATCAGTGTGTGCGTTGATGTTCTTAGCTGCAGCACTATCGCTGACATCAAACGTGTATTCTTTGAACTACAATTAAAGCCATCTATTGCTGCTGTCAGATGGAATAACTCAAATGTTTTTAGGAACTAAGAAACAGCCTTGGTGACATTCTACTTTGAAGGCCTTCGACTTCATTCTCAGTTTGTACACCAGAGTCGCATCACATTTCAAGCAACGCATCACAGAAAGCAAGCTCTGACCTGGTACTTGATGTTATCTTGATTGGAAAAGGTCTCTAGAACATGCATGTGTTGGATGCATGTTGAGCAACTTCACCTCACCTCAGAGAATTCAGCATTTATATACAGACTCCACCTATGAGTCAATAAGAAGACAGTCAATGTCTCCATGTGTCCCTGGAGACATCGTGCGTCAGTATTGTGTCTGTCCGTCTTCCTTAATGAGCGTGGAGGCTGACTCTCAGGGGATCTGTGGTGGCATTAAACAGCCACATTCAGGTGGTGCACTCATCACCATGTAGTTACTGGAGATATTGTGGAAGTTAATGCCTCCACTGTAGATACGGCCACACTCCCAAACCACCGTATGAGTGATGAAGCTGATGGAACATTTGATCTCTACAGACAGCCAGGCGAGATCCACGAGTCACTTGTTTGATATCTTAGATGTAGGCACTGGCTTTTTTTAGTCTTTGGACTAAAATTGGAAGAAATAATAGAACAAACTTCAGACTGTTTGTTGTCCTTCACACTGTGTGCTGATCCAGTAGAGAAAAGTTGCTAAACAAGCCCTTTCCTGGAGTTATTTTGGACTGTGTGATAGCATGTCCCTCACTGGATGTATTGCACCTTACAGAGCCTTGGAGTCATTTCATTTAAACAGCGGCAAACACAGAATACAACCATGCATTCTGATCATCTAGCTGTACTGATCGGCATCCTGACTTATGTTAGAATGATTTTACTAATTGAGGCTGAACACTGTCGCAGCCTCACAGCAAGAGGGACCAGGGTTCGATTCCCGCGCTGCACGGCCCTTCTGTGTGGAGTGTGTGTTCTCCCCGTGTCAGTGTGGGTTCCCTGAGGGTTCTCCGGCTTCCTCCCACAGTCCAAAGAGGTTGATTGACTAGTTTAGTTTAGTTTAGTTTTTATTTGTTCGAGAGGGACAATGTACATTGATGAACACTTTAAATTAAAATGTAAATGCACCCAATTACAGCCGCAAGGCTGATTTCCATTGTCTGTCCCCCTGCCAGAATGTACAGGCTGAGTGTCCTAAAGGAAAAGGTCATGCTAAAATGCAATAGTAATAAACTAAAATCAATTACAGTCTGTAGCTGACAATACACAATAGTTCGATAATAAAAAGTTAACAATGGATAAAAAAGGAATCGCGCATATATATATATATATATATATATAAGAAACTAGAAAAAATATCACAGTGTAAGGAAGACATTTCATATTCATCGTATTGCACCCAGATATATTGCACATAAGGGCATTAATTAATTTGCACATTTAAGGTTTCATTCATTCATTCATATAACATTAGTACATCACATATCCATGACACTAATACTGCTAACCCAGGTTAAACTATCTATGTGCACAAGTTTGGGTGGACCACAGCCATCCCTTCATGTGCTTTTTAAAAGTGGTGAAGTTTGGGCACTCCCTAACGGAGGATGGTAAAGTGTTCCAGAGGGTGCTGCCTTTGACAGACAGAACCGTCTGACCAAAGGTGGTGCGCCTGTCTGGGATGACACAGTCGCCTCTGTCGGAGGCTCTGGTGACTCTAGTCGCAGGGCCGCAGACAGGTCTCTGTTTGATGTACTCGTTCAGCGGAGGAGGTGCCAGACCATTTAGGACTTTGTAAATGATGCTGGCTTCTTTAAGGCTGATAAGGACTACTGTGAATGTGAGCGTGAATGGTTGTCTGTCTCTAGGTGTCAGCCCTGTGATAGTCTGGCAACCTGTCCAGGTGAACGTTGCCTTCACCCAACGTCAGCTGGGATCAGCTGAACAGGATAAGCGGTTAAAGATAATGGATGGATCGAGGGAAAGCATTGAATTTAGCCATAACTTCAGTTTCAGACAGATTGATACATGCTGATTCGCACTGATGCTATTTACAAAAACACTGGATTAGCATGAAGCAATCAATGCATTTTGTCCATATCCACACACCAAACTAGAGCTAGTCTTCACCTTGCAACGTTATACACACCACATATGTTTATTTATGCAAACTCATCAATCAACAGAGAATGGATAAATACAATAGTAATTGTACTGCATTTACTCAAAGGTCAGAAAAAATGTATTTGTATAATTATCATGTTTCCAAGCAAGAGGCAAAATCCCCCAACAGAAAATGAATCTGCAACTGTGTTGATAATCCATTGAATCTTCAGGCCAAAGGGTCAAACGTTCCCTGGTTCCCTCTTCTTCAGTCACTGATTCATTTCATATGTGGCACTAAACTGAATATCTTTGAGTTATGGACTGACAACGTGACACAAATAATAAGCACTCCCACTTCAGAGCTGAGAGAGACGCAGGCAGGGTGTTCTCTTCATTGTTCACACAACTACTGACTGAGTGTCTGAATATGTGCAACGGTATTCCCATCGTGGGCCCTCTCTGTGACAGCGGGCTTTTTGCCCCGCCTTAAAGTGTGCCGTTTTGGAACAGGTATAAACACTTTTGGCTTCCAACTATTTAAATGACACACTGTACAACCATTCAATCAGATTTCTTGCTTTCATAGGAAGAGTTGCTTGACACCTTTTCTGACCTCTTGAGGCCTGCTGAGACCCTGGTAATGCTCATCTAGGTATTTCTGTGGTCCCAGGAATTTGGACTTGTCATGTAGATTTCTCGTCCTGTCTTGTGTTTTCAACATGAGGCCTACAGGTGGCATTACATTAATAAACCTAGAGCTGAGGTTTTGGTATGTTCCCTTTGTGGGTCAGCATAAGAAAGGAAGTACAATACCTTGATTTATTTAAAGAGGGGTATCATCACAAGGGCTGGGTTGCAATGGTCATTTAGGTATATAATACCTTGATATACAAGGTATTATACAAGGTACACATGAATACACATTGATCATTTCTTAACATGTCATGAAATTGATTGTCAACAGAAATGATGTTGTTTGAGTCCGATGAGGCAGATGATGTTGGGTCCGTAGGGCCCTTGGCCCCCCCCACTTTACGCCCATGTCCTGCATTGCCAAGGAGAGTAGGTGAAGAAAACCAACGCTCTGATGCTCTCAGTACTACTGTGTGAAAATGGCCAAAGCCGGGTTAAAGGTCAATCCACGCATTCACATAAGATTGTTGATATAAGAGCAGCGTAAGTTGAGTTTAAAACAGATTTTTTTTATGTATCGATAGTAGTTGCAGACATATTGATACACTATCATTTCAAAACGGTTTGCGATAGTAAGCTGTATCTATACTGTTGCACAGCCCTACTTTCTAATCTTTTTTTGTATCAAATTTGGTTCTGCTTCCAACATTTGCAACTTACTAAAGTTATGTATTCTCTAATAGCCAGACCACAGCGCTGTGGCTTCACACTGTCCTTGTGGTACAGCGGAATAAACGCTCTGGCTTGTTTG